TATATATATATATATATATATATATATATATATATATATATATATATATATATATATATATATATATATATATATATATATATATATATAATTATTTCGCTGTTTGCTAGACACGTTAAAACTATTACTTACCGCAACGATAATTAAACTCATTTCTCGCTTGTCTTATCCTTGTTAATATTTCTAATGATCTACATAGACCTTGTAAATGTCTTAAATCTAATGATATCACATTTAAATCTTTAGCAACTACTACACCACAATTCCAAACCGACGGTAATCGTCGCATTGGATGGTAATAGTCTTGGTCGTCTTCCCAACCGTCGAAATACATAACCCTAAATAAATAATTATAATAATAATAATAAAACTATATAGTCAAAATATTCATGCTATTTGCATTTACTATATATACAATCCTTCTTAAGTTGTTTCCCTTCATTTTGATATTTTGCAACGGAATTTGGGCTTTTGAGCATTGGATCTTATATCAACGATCATTTATATATCAGCAATCACAGTTATAAATATTTGACTAAATAAAATTATGACACACATACTTCTATATATCATCTATAAAAAGTAGTTGGAGTTAACTATACCGTACTGTAGATAATTTATCTACTATATCGTATTTAACGCTAACTATGATAGAAGTATGTGTGTTATAATTTCATATTTTGCATTTAAGCCCATGTCAAACGTGGATGAGAGTATATAGTTGCATAATGGTTTAAGAGTTGAGAAAACTTTCATCAATTCTCATCCCCGTTTGTCCAGGGTGTTACAGAAACATAAACACGGAAGTGCGTGAATACAAACTATAAACACATTGGTTAAAATAACCAATTTGAATCAAAATTGGTTGTCTCAGATGCACTTATTTGACCAATATTTTATTAGTTAAAACTAGAAGTTACTATCGCAAGGAAAATGCTGCCTCACCCCCGAGGGATCAAAGGCAAGGGAGCATACGCAATTTGCTAAATAAGGGCTGTTTATACGGATCCCGCTTAAACCACTTTGTCAGGACGAGATATAAGGCGCGCGATGGTTTTTGAAAAACTTTATTTTCTAGAGATGGATTATAGTTAACTGTAATCGAAAGGTTGTTCAAAAAGCTATAAAAATCTTGAACTACATGATCTTCTCTACAACATTTGAGTTCGGTTATAGCCAGCATTTGAACTTTCGTTTAGCCTTGTGACTTATTTCAATACAACAAAATCATCCCAACTTCCATCATGTAAACAGCCCAGAGTATGCCCGTTCACAGGTTAGGTGCTGGGCATGACCTAACTTGCGAACTGGCAAATTCTGGGTATGAGATTGCTAATACGCCTGTTCAGGATGCAGGAAAAGACTGAAAAATGCAATTTGAATATCAAACACCTTGCACAAAGTCGAAGGTCAGCTAAATATTCTAATTCTACTTTCTTGGCATGGTTTTTTTTATGAATGCCTTGAATGCTTATAACTTCTTGCTTTTGTATGTATAATTATACTGTTAATGGTGAAGCTAGCCATTATTAAACTAAACTCTACGTGATTCATTCAAATATTATCAATGTTGATATATATGGCAATATGAGATTGTCAGTATTCAGTGGCAAGCTAGCCATGGCAACTGCTCATGCTATGCTACTGAAACCTGCAAATCATTAAAAACTTGCATAACATGACTTGTTGCTACAATTTCATATACCTTACTTGTATTAAAATTTGCGCAGTACTAGAATTCGCGCAGCGCTGGGTTGCGCGAATTTTAGTAATGTGCGAAATATAAT